AAAATAATTAGATTATCGAAAGTCCAGTAATTTAAATTATCTTTAATTTTATAATGTATTTCGAAACTTGGGAGAATGAAAAAATTTTTAATTTTCGGTTTACTTTTTTATCCGTATTGTTTTGTTGCTTATTCCGCCTAACGTGTACCTTATCTAATTCCAAAATTCTGCTATTTTTTCTGATTACAAAAAATCGCTATTCTCAAATATTCAATGAAAAAAAAAACGTTCAAAAAATACACTGGATGTCTCAAAAAAGAAACATCCCTGTTAGTTTGCCCAGCGTATTGCAACCCATTTTTATGCAGGTAAATAAATACATCACTGAGTTCTACGGAGCGACAACACTGTCGGAACGAGCTACAAGATTTTGTACGTGTGGACGTCAAATTTTTTGTGTATAATTTTTAATAAATTTGTAGTGTTAACGAATTATTGCAAAATTTTCAGTGCAACTTTTGAAGCAGCTATTCTTTGGCATTTTAGCAGATATAAGCGGATTTACAAAAGTTCTGGTGTAAGTTAAATTTCTATCGTTAGAAAAAGATTGTATTTTGCCTTTGATGGCTGCAGAAAAAATGACACAAGCATCCATGTATTGTGTACACCATCTTGTTTATATTTACATATACCCTAGGCGGTTTTTAGAATTGTAAAAATTTCCCGGACGTATTGAAGGCACCTCCTAACGGGTGTCTGACGGGAAAAGTTCAGTTGTGTGACATTCCGACTAGATCTACATATGTATGTACATAAGTATATTGTTAAGTGGGCTAATTCCAAAAATATTTATAAGGCGCGGTGCACATTACAGCGAGACGATATGAAAGCGGATACGTAGCGATAAGCAAGCGATATTAGTTGCGTTCCAGATGCTTCACGATTTGCAGGTTTTTACAGGAAGCCGTTCCAGGTGACCACCTTCCATAAGATTTATTAATGGAGAAGACAGCTGTTCCTGCAAAACGTTAGTGTGCACAGTTTTCATCGCTCCTACCAATTCCCATGTACTCAGCATGTGGATGACGCTTTTGTATCGCATCGCATACATCGTTTTATCGTGCCTAAAAGTTTTAATTTTTTTATTCTTACTCCATAAAAACAGATTTCTATATAATAAACCATTCCTGTACAAAGCACGCCGTTAAAAATTAAAAACTTAACAAAAAGGATAACGAGGTTAAATTGGGATTTAATGGTTTCTCACATCTTCAATGTTGTTAATCAATGCACGGTTGATCCTTGTCATATGTCGACCGCAGTCTAGGGCATAGAGACGCATATTTTAATCTTCTATTTGTGGCTTATCATCCCTTGATGATAACACAACAAAAATTGGATAGCCAAACACTTAAGTTACTGCTTCAGGATCGCAAGGTATGGTAACTCCCTAGCGAAATGTTCGGAATAGTATCAGCATCTCTATCCTTTCTCCTCCGACTAAAGGGGCTCCTCATGGAAGTCTCTTTTTCAAAAAGGAAAAAAAAATCTTTGATTTCACCGACAAACTGCCTTCGTCCCACGAGTACGCTCAGGATCATGACAATATCAACAGAATACTCTTCTATCTTACCGCAGTATTATGTACTGATTTTTCCTGTCGCTGTCGTCAGAAGCCCTTCGGCCCACGAACGCGCTCAGGGCAACACAACCCTTAATAGATTTCTCCTTTTTCCTATCACAGGAATCTAATAGTTTAGTCTTTGTCCCTTTAAGTTGAAAAGGATAGAGGTGCCACTCGCCTTCTTTTTTTATAGCAGCCTCAAACTAATCGGAACGTAACCTGCTCTCTACTTTATTTAATAACGGATGGTTTCAAAACTTTCACAATTTGTATGGAAGTTCTAAAGGCTCGAAAGGTGAGCTGCTCACTCGTCAAATATACAGTATTTCTCGCTTATATGCCCTTCGCTTTTTGGCGACGATTTTACCCCTTATGAGATTTCCCCATATAAAAATGGTTCGATTTTCCCGCTTATATGATTCCCCGTTTAAGGGCACCAGAATTTAGATACAAAAGAGTAATTACATAATTAAATTTCCTCGGATATAAGCGCAGGGCGAAAATTTCAAAGCACCCAACTTTTTGACGAAGAACTTTTACAAGAAATGTTACATCCGTCTTCGGATGAATCCAGAAGTAGTATCAGAAAGTTTACCAACTACAAAGGAACAACTTCATGCAATTAAAATTTTAAATAAAAGCTTTGAAACAAAAAAGAACTTGATGCTATGAAATTGCTAATTTATAAAGAAAAAAATTCAGTCAAAATTAACGGATTTCTTTAGGATAGGTATTTAACAATGACATTTAATGTAGTGCTTTGTTTTGCGATTTGGCTGGGATAGCTATTTTTTATTATTAATTCTAAGACTTTTTTGTTTCATAACAGCCGAATGAATTTAATTTTTGTTTTAAGTATACATGAATGTACTTTATCACCAAAATAACTATACATAATTATATCGTTACCTTAATATAGAAAGGCCCTATCTCACGTAGCCGCTGAAATACAAAGGCCGTTACTACAACCTCACATACGCGGTTTTGGGTTTTATTGATACGCGTTTTTGTACTTTGAACGATGATATGCATTAAAAAAAAATCTGTTTTAATAATGTATAAAATGTATATCACTGTCGGCCGCTGTGGTGTAGTGGTAAGCAGTGCGCGCTTCCACTCTGCTGCGCATGGGTTCAAGCCCTGGTAAAAGCAACATCGAAAAAAAAAATAGAAAAAGGTTTTCTTAACAGCGGTCGTCCCTCGGCAGGCAATGGCAAACCTCCTAATTAGTTGTTAGTTTTTAATAAAGAACTATGAATATCAACATACCAATTTGGGTATTAAAGTTTCCTTTGCGGTGGTGGACTCTGTAACGAATTTTTGTTATTTATCATCTAAAAAATACTAATTTTCTATCTACATAGTTTATTGTTTGTTAGATAAATAAAATAATTGAAAAATAAGTACATACTTGTGTGTGTTTATTCTTGAGCATTAATTCAATTTATTTATGTGCAATACATTTGCTTCCGTCATTGGTATGCACATACATGCATACATATATAGTGTACAAACTAAAAATGAACCGGAAACAAATTCAAGGAAGTGTTGCCACAGCAAACATTTTCAATACATGTTTGTAACCAATTTATATTTTGTATGTACATAAATATTTAAATATAAAGTTAATCGTGCGACATAAAATGTCGATATAAATGCATAAGAGGTTAAAGATGCCTAAAATATATGTACCTACTCACATAGTACAGCTGCGGTCAAATTAGTAGCATCAAAGTAATATTGTTTGCAAGTCATGTTTAAATATTTATTTATTTTTTTTATTATTAGTAATATTAGCCATAATTTTATATATTTTGTGGGGCAACCGTAGATCAATATGAATCAATTTAGGAGAAATTGAATACCGATTCTCAAATTTTTTCAATCGATTCACGGATCGAATCGGAACTAAAAGATCGACAAAAAATCTAATCGTCAGGGCTCGATTAACCAATCTTTATTTAATGGATTTACAAAGGGCATCTCTAATTCGTACTCGAAGATTTTCAACGATGAATGTAAAATGCTGATTGTGGAGTAGTCTCATATTACTTCATAAAGATAAATTTTGTATAATAGAAATGTGTTTTTTTTTTTATTACTCGGGTTGATTCTTATGGGAGAGCTACCTTATATATGTATTTCTGTGTTTAAAATTAATTACTTACCCTCCAAGGACATCTCATGTTAATGCATGGGATGCTACCGATTTCTAATGGATCTGTTCATTTAAGTTTTAAGGTTTTGTTTTTCTAAAACATTTTAGCAGTTGTTTTTAACTAGCTTTAATAAAAGGAGGAGTTTATCAATTAATCGAAGTATATTTTTTTATGTCATACCCGTACCACAATCAGTTCGTATGCCTCAACACTTAATATTTGCCTTTGAAACTTATAAAAATGTATTTATATTTATATTATATTTATTTATATATTAATAAATCAAAGGCTTTGATACAAAGTTTGTTAATTTCCCATAGCTTGAAGAGAGGTTTCTTAGAATCGATGGATCTTAAAGAAAATCTTTCATCGTTTTCACTAATTTTAATGGGAAATTAGTGAAAAAGGATGAAAGATGTTATTAAGGCAAAAGGCGACATGACAAAGTGTTAAACAATATGTACATTTTTCAAGGTGCCACGTATTGAATTGAAATGCATTTTTATAAGAGTGTGGTAAGATCTTGCTATTTACGTTGTTGTTTTTGTAATTTCTTTTCTTTTGCTCTTGATATTAAGACCAAACTTTGCATCGAAAACTTTGATTTATTAATATATGTATATATGTGTGTATGTAAAAGTTTCAAGTAAAAATATTAAAAAGTGTTCTTGGCATACGAACCGATTGTGGGCTGGGTAGTATATTACCGTATAGCTTAGGACCTCGTGAACGTTTTCCATAGTTATTTATCGGAAAGCATATACTTCCTCTACTATGTATATTGGTTTAGTTTCGGTCATTGGATAATGACGAAATCACGGTACTCCTGAATTTGTTCATGAGCATTGATGTGAGTTGGATTTTTTGCTCAAAAATTACTTATTAGTTGTATATTCTGTATTGTTATCATTTCGTTCGTGTTGTTTTCGTGTCGCCCAACACTTTCTTATACATTTCATAGCTAAATGTAGACGCAACATAAACATACATAGCCACACTGCTGGCAATATTCTCTTGCCTTCGAACAAAACAGACCGCACTTCGCTCCACCTGCCCACATGTGTCACTTACATACATACCTATGTATTTTTACTATGTACTCGCACACCATTGTCATGACGAACAACCAACGACTACCTACACATGTATGTACATACATACATACATAATATGTACCTGTCCATATATTTGCTTTAACTCACACTCGTATAGAGAAATCCATGAACTCGTCTCTTGAACTAACTTGATTACTTGTGTAGCTATGTCAATCTGAGTCGTCGTCGGCGGTATCAGTCAGTCGAACGCCTTCATTAACACACAACGCAGTGAAAGGCTTTAATATATAAAAAATATTTATAATTCAATTCTTCTGTTTGCCTTTTGGTTTGTTTGTTTTACACAGCTGTTTTAATTGTTTCTTTTTAAGAACGAATTTAATTCGTCGTATTTTAATAAATTAATTGAATTAATAACGCTACAAGTCAGGGGCCGATAAGAAGACGCAAGTAACCAGTCCTCCAGCAGCGCATTGATCTCATTAGTGAGTCCACAACGGAGTTCTTGAAAAATTTTTAATTTTAATTTTGTTTGTATTAATTTTAAGCTATGTACGTGCTGAGGCATATGTATTTTCATACATACATATGTGCACGTGTACATATGTGGTGTATATATTTGAATAGCATAATACTCACACAAACGCCTAGTAAACAAACATTTTGGCTTCCCTCAGCTTTTCAGTCGAACTACAGATATGTACTTGTAAACACTCACAAAAAAGTTCTTTGGCCATTTACCAAATGCGAAAAAACTCGTAAATAAAAAAATAAACACGATTAGTAAAGATTATAAAAAAATTAAAGTACAAAAAGGAGCAACCACAAAAAATTACTTGTATTGATAATTTGAGTGAGTTTTTTACTGAAATCAGCAATTTTTGCTTTAATTAAACGCGTACGTGTGGTGAAAGGTGCATTAAGCGAAAACAAGATTTTATTTACTCAATTAAATGTTTTGCGTCGTAATTTTGTGCTAATATGCTTGCTATTCACAGAAGTATTTTGGTTTGATTATTTTATAAAACTGTATCCAATTCTACAACAGAAACCATGAAAACCAAAATTTCGCTGCTGAAGTCTAGAAAAAAGAAGTCTGATGAAGAGATGTGGTGATCTCCGAAAAAGCTGCTATAACTTCTACCGCTTAGACTTTGTTGCTTTTTCAATTTTTCCTAATAAAACAATCGTGGTACAAAGCTCAATAAAAATATTAAAAACAAAATTTCAAACTTTGTGGAAAAGTAAGGTATATTCTGCAAACTTTCAAACTTTTCTAAACAGATTTTTTAACAAAAAATTTGGGTATGCAGTTTTAAAGCACATTAAATTTGAATACAATAAAGTGCAAATTTGAAGGTGCTGAAACATCGTGTCGATTTTTGATAATTTTTTTTACTGAAGATTTCTTTAATATAAAGATTTTTAATTGAATGGGCTATACAATTGCATGCACCAATTTTTCCTAAAAGAAACTATTAAGAAGGCTTTAAATTTTGTTAAAAATATTTTTGTTGTATATGAACTATATTTTTATTAAAAGAATTTATTAAAAAAAAAAGAGAAATATATACGATAATCAATGCAAAATACGTACTTCTGTAAGTGACTATCTGTGGTGTAATTTCTTTATAATAATGACAACTCTATTTTTGGTTTTTTCTGATTTGATGACTTAATCAAATTGTTAAAATCAAAATGTATTTAACTTAATGTGATTGACTTTAGCGTTTCTCTAATAAAGCCATCCCATAATGTCCAATTGATGGAAAATTGTATAAATTTAGCATCGTCTCGTATTTTTTGACTTTATAGTACCTTAACAGAGAGCCGCACTCAGTTGTTAATCATAGTTTGTACCTGATACCACAGAACTGCATTACAAACATTTGAATTATTTTAATTTTATATTCTTAGCAGAAATACATACATATTGGGCCTTATAAATAAAAACTATGCAATTGCTTTTTCTTGAAATTTCAAACCTTTTACTCGATATATTAAAATAAATTTAATTAAAACGTTTAAAATTTTATGAAAGGGCAATTGCTTAGTTTTTATTCATAGGTCCCATTGAAACTAGAATTATTAAAAATGAAATGTTTTTTTTTTTTATTATAAACACTTTTTATTTAATTTTTTTTATTCGATTATTTTTACAGTTGTAAAAGCTTCAAACAAAAACTGACAAACAAAATGATTGTGAAAGTTCCTTCAAATGATTGGTCTGACCAATTTGAATATGTAGTGGAGGAGGATGATTCCCTATCAGATTTGGAAGATGAACAGGATTTCTCCGAGTACTTGTGGATGGAGAATGAAGAAGAGTTCGATAAGAATGTAAGTAAAAAAATAAATAAAAAATATTTTTCAAAAATGTATGTATGTGATGCTAGCCAATAGTTCTTATAATCCTACCTCAAAAGATAAGGAAGTAACTTTAAATTAAAAAAGTGTAACAAGTGAAATTTCATTAATTTTTATGCGAATGCAGATAATCAGGCAGGTTCTGTAATTCACTTTCGTGTGAATTTCAACCCCTGCCAATTTGAATTAAAAGCGAATTTGCCTGCCTGAATATGAAGATATTAAACTGCTGCACAAGTGCACTTGGTTTCACAACAGTATATATGAGCCCGTGAGAGCAGAAGTGGCCTAACCCAAAATTTTACATTTAGTATTTGCTGACATTTGGCTTTTTTCTCTTCGTACCATCTATGTGCTCTTCAATTGAATTATTTGTTACAAAATAAAAAGATTGCAGCACTGTTTTAAGTATACTTGTGCAGCTGTTTAGTGCATATGTACATATGTATGCTCATATTTATGTACATATGTAAATTTATACTTATACACTTCCTGATTTGCATTTAAGCAAGTGATTTTTTATACAGAAATTCCCAGTATTTTATATTTATGCAATTTTCTTCTAACGCAGGAATTGAAACGTCTCGAAGAAGAGGACATTATGAAAGAGTGCATTGAGGCAATGCTTGAGGACGAGCTCGAAGCTGAATTGGCTGAGTGGCAGAAAGCAAAGTATGAAATTCAATAAAATTTAGAGCATGTGAAAAGTGAAATATCTTTAATTTCATATTTTATTTTATATACATACATATATTTGTATCTTTAATTATCCATCATAATAATATTTAATTATTTAAGGACGGAAGAATTAAATGCAGCATTATCCTCGCTCGCTGTGAGCGAATGCAATGTGGAGCATTCCATTCTAAATCCTCTGGCCGCTGAATTCGTTCCGCAAAAGCATATAATTGATCTGGGTACTTCGTAAGCCTAACATTATTTATTTCACACACCACAAACTGGAATCTAATGCAACATACGACGTTTAAATAAAATCATCAAAACGCAACGCATCAACAATACTATCGGAAATTGTAGGTAATGGCCCTAAACAAAAAAAAAATCTAACCAACACAAAAACAAACAAACAAAAATAAACAGAAAATTTAATATTCTTATTAAAGTATATTTAAAGAAAACCAAACAAAAAATCACCAACCCGTCAGCGTACATGTGCAACGCGAGTAATATTTACTCGCTTTTGTTTTATTTCAGTTGGCCATTAACACCAAGAGGCGCATAAAATTCAAGGAAAAGGAATCACAAATAAGCATACAAAAAAACTAAAAGCCAAACAAAAAGCAAAAAAATAATTTTGAATTACAATAATTTACTCAAGCTCAACTTTTTGTTGCCATGCGCTATTTCTAAAAAATTTTACAGCTAATATTTTAGCAAGTTGTTTGTTGCAAGTCCAACGTACAAATCGCTTTTAATTTATTGTGGGTATTTATACACATTTATATTCATATATTTTTCATAATTACCTCAACCCACGCATAACTTTCGAATCGTCCTATATTATTATCGAGACGATCTACATGATTCAGGAAGACTCTTGCCTCAGACTGCAACAGCAGTGCAAACGAGAATGAGAGCATTTCGGCCATTTTTTGTTTGTTGTAAAAACATTTATCTAGTTTTAAATAAGTGATAAAATGATAAATTGTTAGTCCAGAGTTGATATTAGGAAGATTTGAAAAATTAAAAATGTGATTGTTCACTACTGTAGCTTTCCGTAATAGCTGTCATGTATGGTATGTTTTTTTTCATTGTTATTTTTAATTCACATTCGTTGCAAATTCAATTCACATTTAAATTTATATGTATTGCGATCTGCAGATAAATCACTGTGCATCTAAAAAAATATTTAACATTGTCCTGTCTATATTAATATGCTTGAACGCTCCAAATTCCATGTAAAGTACACAGACATACCCCATTACAACCTTGTTTAGCTTTAATGGAAAATTGTAAAGTTATTTGTAATTTAAAATTTAACAAAAAAAATTAATAAAGTCAAATGTAATGTCAGAAATTACAAAAATACATACGTAATAGGCGTCTTAATATGCTTATCTAAAGGAGTAAATATTAACGAATGCAATAAGCTAATTCCATAAATATCTGTATAAATTTTCACACATACATTACATACGTAAAAATAAAATACCGAATTACAATAGCGTAGAGTGCAACCATCTTATTTACTAAATGTAATACCTAAATAAAGAATCATAAGGAAGAAACCAATAAATAAAATGGTGTACACTCGATTTAATGATATTTAACTTTGCCAACTCTTTATATTTAAACATATAAGACGCTCCAACTCTATATACATATGTATGTATTTATACATCAGCCTCGTAATATTGAACTGCTTCGAGCAAAATTATCTTAAAGACTAATGCTATTTATAGTGTTATAGTAGTTTATGAAAAAACCCTAAAATATAAAAAAATAAATAAAATATATAAAAACGTTTGTTATTAGCAAAGTGTTTCATAAGTATGCACGTATCTATACATATGTATATATGCATGTGCATATTATATAATGTAACACGTTAAGAATGCAAGACATGAACAAAAAAATATACTATTACTTAACTTTATGTGTGATATAAAAATACAAAAACTTAAAAAAAGTAACATTCTAAGAATAAAGTCAAGCAAAAAAACTAAAAAAACAAAACAAAACAAAATCTCAATAAAAAGTATTATAGCAGTTAAATGAGTGATTTTCTTACACAATCGGATTTTAATGGTTAATTACTATACAGTATGGTGAATACGTTATACTTCCGATGTAGATGAGAAGGATACGTTTTGCATCTTCTTTGTATCATGTATTTTTTCTTTGGTAGCAGCAGAAGTTAAAGAAGCTACACTTGTTGCTCCGTTTCGTTTAAGTGTAGCTTAATTCAACATACAAAATCCTATTGGAATATTTTAGATTTTGATTTACGCTGACGACACACAATCAGTTTTGTCTTTCAATTTCCTCACATACATTGCTTGTCAAAAATAATCAGAGTTGAAAGGCATAACGTAGGCTGCATTCAGTTTGAGAAGCAATTTCATTATCAACATGTCGCCTTCAAGAAAACAATCAGACCGATTCTGAACAGAAAGTCCCTGGGAGTTTTCTCTCTTTTCCCTTTCCTCTTATCATGAATAAAAATTCCCTGACGATTTTGAGCTGTCAAAAATGTGTCGAAACAGCTTTTTTGAAATTAAAACTTCCTTCCAAATTTTCGGGAAAATGCTACTGGCAGTTAATTATTGGAGGATTTCTTTCTCGGGAGAAACAAGTTCCCGGAGAACAGACTCCCCGGGAGTATTAAGAATTGGGCTGAATGTAACTAACTAGCTTCTGAAAAACATTTTCCACCACAAGCTTAGTATTTTTTATTGTCACAAAGTTCGCATGCCGATGCTGAAAGCTGACCAAAATTGAAATTCAATTGAAAGCAAGTTGCCCACTCAAGCAATAAATAAGAGTGTGTTAGCGAAAAAGTGTGAAAGTATTGACAATTGAAAGGGGGAAATTGAATGTGTAACGGCCCGGTTAGTGAAAAAGGTAACCAGAACATTACAAGTTCAAGAATTTAGCTGATTCAGATTGCATTAAAATTTACTTTCTGCGTTTCGTAAAAGAAGTCGCAATCAAAGAAAAAAGAGAATACAAAATAAGTTAAAATCCAACACCAAAATCCAATAAGATCCACTTGATTTCGAATATATTCGTTGTTTTTGTTGTTTTGTACTGATTGTCGCTGCGCGTATAATTTGTTATTGTAATTTTTTTTTTGTTCTTCGCCTTTTTTTGTTCACCTTGCATGCGTCGTTCCGTTTACGTAAACCCGACTGTCGTGGGAACGGATATATTCGTATACGAATTTGTATGGTGAAATTAGCTACCCTCCCCAAGGTAAAAGTTCTATACAAGAGGTGAGCTTTTTTTTTTACTTACAAATCAAAGAACCCACCAAGAATTGGGAGTTCTATCCCAATTATTTTAATATCCAGATAGTATCTATGGATATTGGAATATGTTTAACAAAATGAATATCCGTATAGCAAAATTATTGTATATATACAGGATATTCGGATAACAAAACAGAACGGACATTAACCGGATATCCGTATTTTACCCATATACGCGAATATCAGAACGGATATCCGAATACAATCCAGAGTATAGTCTACATATATAAACAGACGGACGAAAATTTATATCTGGCCAAGGACTTTTACCTCAGCGGCATTCTCCAAACCCTTTGAACTTTTATACTAATGCTCATTTTAATTTACGTCAAAAGTGCTCTAACATTTTTGTTTCCTACTGTTGGGGCAGGGGCGGATCCAGCGGGGGGTTTGGGGGTTAAACTACGTGTCAGTCAGTGGAGGACCCACGGGGGATGTTTTAATACATAGACGCCATATTATACATACATATGCGCCATATTAAAACACACCCCGTGCGTCCGCCACTGGCTGACACGTAGTTTAACACCCAAAAGCCCCCCGCTTACGACACCGTTGTGAATCCCCCATGTGTTAACTGCAGTTTCATAATTTTCTATGTTGTCAGCATTTTCTATGTTTTTTATCGGGAGCCCCTACGACTCCATTTGTTCGTACTTTCTTACACAAAAACTTTCGATCTGGCACCTATATACAAGCTTTCAGCCGGCAACGCTAGAAACTGACGTTTAGCAATGCAAACATGGCGTCGTAAAATTGGTGAAGTATCGGTGATTCTAGTAAGTTTTTCGTGTTTTTGGATGTTTCAAAATTGTTCTGTGTGTGATCTAAATGTTTCTAATCATACATGAATCAATGTATAACAAAGATATGTCAAAAATTTGATTAGATTGGTTATGAAAATCTATTATATTTATTTGCAAATCAGGGGAAGTCTAGTTTGACAAGACGAAAAAGAAGAAAGCGAAAATTGGTATAAAATAAAGAGCACAAGAATAGTGTTTGACAGACAAAGCGACGACAAAAAAAAACAAAGACGACGGCATCGACGTCAACGTCGGCAGAATGAGCAGGTGTCGCTGGCAGTGACTGAGGACGTGGGCTACTGAAGAACTACTAAACTTTTCTCTTTGTAAACAAAAGCAGGAATGAGCATTTCATGGTTTTTCGTAACAATTGCGTAAATTAATTACTGCATATTTTGCATACCTCACGAGCTCAGAAAAAGCTTTCAAGCGCATAGAAATAGGAACAGACATTTTAATTAAAAGCTACGTACATATTTAAATAACTATTTGTGAGGCGAAACATTTAACGCTAAGAAAACCTCAATTCGCATGAGTTTTTACTAATTAAAACACATGCCCATGGCAACGAGTTCATCTGCGGCAGCTGCATCGGCGACAGCTGTCACTGCTCCATCGTCGTCCATTAGTACACTTAGCGGTAGCAGTAGTAGTGGAGGTAGTGGTGCACCATTAATTAATGCAAATGCAGCGCAATTTCGAGAAATACACAAGAACACTTGGCTTAAAAGACTGACTGCTGAAGGCAAAAAAATCACAGTGGGCCCTAAGGTGAGTAATTATACTCATGATATGTTAATTTAAATAATTACTACATACTTAGTTCTATTAAAACATTGCATAGAAAGTTTTTCACTGTTCTCTTGCAAATGTGCAGCAGGTAGGTACTTAAAACTTGATGAATGTACTAACATAAAATTTTTTCATATATGAAAATCGCATAGATTTAATAGTACTTTTTTTTACAGAAATCTGATCGCAGTTGGGTTGTTTTCTGTGTACACGATGATACCGACGCGCTTTTGGAGGGATACGCAGAGCCTCGCCAAGCTGCTTCCCATAATCCCGAATGGATTGTTTCGATGCAGGACACATTGCACATCTCACATGCGCTCATTCCCAATTCGCACGAATTCGAATTTGTCGTCACGCTTGCTAATGAAGTGATACGCTTCCATGCAATGTCATGGTATGATGCACATCTATTACTCAACTTGCGCGCGTAATGTAACGCATTACGTTTTATTTACAACTCACTGCACATTATATTACGCATTGTCTGGGACAATAGATTTACTTAGTATAGGAAACTTGTTTATAACTCAATAAAATTCATGTTTTCTTTTTACAGGGAAATTATGCAAGAATGGGTAGATACGCTGCGTTCCAAATTACGAGAGATGAAAATTCTGTCGCCACGTGAGAATCTCTATACAAAGCTACCTGAAATACGTGCGCCACTCTTACCAACTCGTGATCCAACATCACCATTGCCAGCACCCCCACCGGTGCCAGCTGCCATTGTGCCAGGAGTGGAACGCGTTGTGCCGCCAAGCTTGGCGCAAGATAATTCTACTAGCGAAAGACGAAATTCAAATACTGCAGCCACAACTTCAACAATAACACCATCAGTGACTACATCAGCAACATCCTCCCTAAGCAGTGATGTAAATAGAGTAAATGCCCCAAGCAATGCTGGGACGACTGTTGCAAATACAAGCACTGGCAGCAGTACCTCTACGACTAATGCGTCAGCAATTTCAACTCATACGACTGTATTACCAGCACTAACTTCCATGTCGAACACACTTACACAAAATCTGCTAAACATGCTCTCAGATCCTATAAGCGCCTATAGTGAACAAATAAATGAAGTTTCACACATGGATGATTCGAGCACTGTTGGCGATCCACAGGACTTGCATTACGACGACGAGTTTCAATCACTCATCTTGAGAAAACAACTGCAACAATATGATCCTGTAGGGCCAACAACAAGTACCGACAACAGTATTCGTGTGGATATTGGACAGCGTACTTCAGCTGGTATGCTCATTTTCATTATACTTTCAATATTACAAGAATAGTAAATAAATTTATTTTTCTAGAATCAATTAAGAACTGGGAATGTTTGATGCAGCCCGATTGTTCCTTGTCTACAAGGTAATGTACAAACAAACATCAATGAATAGAATTATGTAGTGCATAGGAAAAACAAATTTCGATGAAATCATTTACATAGGTAGGGTTTTTAGTTCTAGGGAGGCTTGCTTTTAATAGAGCAAGTAAAAAAACTATTTTCAATAAATATTATCACCACTACTATTCAATGTATACTCAGAGAGAATCTTCGAAGAAGCTACAAAAAACGAAGATGTGGGCATTAAAATTAACAGAACATACGTAAATAATATCCGATATGCAGACGATACAACACTAGTGACAAATAATCTACACGATCTTCAAAGAATTATTGACAAAGTAGAAAATTAAAGCAAATCTTTTGGGCTAAATATAAACATTGACAAAACAAAATTCATGATAGTAAATAAGAGCAATAAAGACTATTCTAATGCGAGACTTATAATAGATAATAAAAACATAGAAACGGTGGAAAAATATAAATACCTGGCTAAACGACGGATGGGACCATGATTGTGAAATAAAAAGCAGACTTGAACTAGCGAGACCCGCATTCATGAAAGTTAAGAAGCTACTGACAAATCGGGACGTGCCAATAAGGTTAAAGACGAGATTCCTTAAATGCTACGTATCGTCGACACTATTGTATGGATGTGAAGTTTGCACCCTGAGAGCTCCGAGTATAAACCGCCTGGAAGCATTCGAAATGTGGTGCTACAGGAAATTGCTAAGAATAAGTTGGACACTGTTTTAAACATGGCACAAACTACCAGAGGCATACGAAAAGATATTACAAAAAGAAAAGTCGCATATTTCGGGCATGTTATAAAAGGAAGCAAATACGATTTGTTACAACTTCTGATACAAGGCAAAATCGAAGGACGAAGAGGAATCGGTAGAAGAAAAATGACATGGCTCGATAAGAATGGACCGGCTGTAAGACAATTGGCGAATTAATAAATGCAGCTAGACACAGACAACAGTTCCAAGAAATAATAAATAACCTGACATGGCTAACATCCAGCATTGTATACACGGAAGAAGAAGAAGAATAAATATTTCAACTCGAAAAGTTAAAAAATTGTTTGAAGTCCAAAAAAATCTTTTTCGACGGAAAATTAAAAAAATGAACACTGCAGCGCCTTCGTCCTGGTCTGCAGGCTGTATCGGAGACACAGCCGCTAAATTTAAACGTAGAATACGTGGAGCACATCCAAGTCAAAAACGAAGGCACTCACTAAGGAAAAAATATCGATAACATAAGCGATAATAAAATCGATAATAATATCGATAACAAAATCGATAAAAATGCAGAAAACAAAATCGATAACAAAATCTATAAGAAATCGATTGCAAAATCTATTAAAATATCGATAACTAACTTGATAAAAAGTATCGTTTATTATATCGATAAGTTCCGAAAATATCAATAGCAAAATCAATAATATCGATAAAAGTTTCGATAACAAAATCGATAAAAAATAAAATCGATAAAAATCTGTTACTCAAAATCCGAAATACCTACAGACATACGCACACATACTTTTTGTCTCCTCTCATTTCTAGCGCAAGCACGTGTTTGACGAATGACGAAGTGATTTTGTATGGAAAATCATTTATGCCCATATATTTGAATAAAATACACATACTTAGAAAACTCAACCAATACTTCCCATATACTAAACGGGAGGAGAAAGCTTGAATTTTTGATTAGGGAAAACTAGAACAAAATCATTCTAGCGGTTTTCGAAAATTTTGGAAACAAAAAAAATTTGCAAATTTTTTCAACAATTTTTTCCCTTAAAATACTCAATATTTGTTGAATTTATATAAAATTTGTATACGATAATATTTCTACTGCTCGAAAAAACCTATATCCCGAAAAGGAAAGATATATCTGCAAATCATAAGTTGCTAGAGCACTTTCAAGGTTCAAAATTTACCCCGAAATAAGCCAATATTTACCGTTGTTTCTGCAGAAGACACCGTATTGGTTACTTACAGAAATGTATCTGTCGATAGGTTTGGAATTTTGTATTTGTATTTTGCAATCATAATCCAGCAGATCCACCAGTGATTGCAATGTCTAAAATCCGCAAGCCCAATAAAACCAACAATTAAAAAGCACAAATATATCTGTGGTCAAGCATTGCTTTATATCTGGTGAAATTTATAAGACAGTTTCACGTGAAATTTTTTAAATAATTTGTGAGTGTAAAACTTTTCGGGTGCTTACTTTAAAGCGGGATATTTACAAAAGGACCTAAGAAGCGAGCTAATACCAAGTTCTGGCCGACAACGAACACGAGTTTTGGTATTGTGGTCTGAAGGCTGTTCACACCGGTTGTCAGTGTTTTCGTTGACATTTCTTACATCCTTTAATTACCAATTTGCTACACAAAAACAAAACCAAAATATTTTTCCTTCATTTTCTTTTCATTAACAACCTTTTACTTTCATTCTTATTTTACTTTGGCCGACCAATTAACAATAAATCCGAAATGGCGTATTAAAGATGATAAAATGTGTCTTCCAATTCGATAAATAATCCAAAAAAATTAGAGCAGATGCCGATTGGAATCAGTGGAACGTGAATTTTCAAGTAGTTTTCATCGAAAACTGGTTTTCGTTTGACAGATTTTACATGGACGAAAATAGAAGATTTAGGTCGAAAACCAGTTTTAGCAACGGAAATATGTTTTCGATGTCGGTCACAACATGGTATAAATTATACTTAGGGACAAGTAAACACTAAATATGCGTGTCCTATCTGAAATAGTTCTAGCTACGAGGAACTGCGAGTTTAGTTTCTGATCTTTTTTTTATAGACGCACCTGAAAAATTTATTGAATTTTTATTGTAGAGCTGAAGGAAAATACTGATATGTACATAAAATTAATAATATGCAATATAAAAGTGAAATGGAAGAAGGTGTAGATATTAATAGCTCGGCTCTATTAATCACATTCAGCATTAACTTACAATCGCCATATACTTCGTTTATAGAAAACAAATACAGACCCGAATAAAAAATGTAATCCTTCGTTTTGTATACATTTATATATACAATGTATCTGGAAACGTTCTAACGATTACTCGACTACATAGTCGATTAACAAGGGCCACATCAGGTCGTCTGAGCATCACCTCCTAGAAGAAAGCCAAATTCTGGCGGTGAAAGAACACAACACCATGATATCGAGTAATTCCTCTGGGTGGTGCTGCAAACTCGACAGGTATCTTTCTCGGGTGAACTCAGCACTCATCATTTCTTCGCATGCCCCTCCAACCCGACCACGCTGATGCCGGAAGCACTGGTCAGCGCCGATCGACGGCACCCACTTGCCCGGCCTCAGGCTTGTCGAGCCAGAGGAGGAGACTTATGACTAAAAAAAGACAAGGAGAAAGTCAAAGATGAGGACAAAGGCAAGAATAATGGATATAGCCCCTAATCATGAGTTCCGAACGATTTTTTTTCATCCGCCCGCAGTGAATATACGGAAGCGAAAAGGGAAGGATTTCGGTCGAAAATGAAACTCGTAATAAAGCTGATAAAGATAAAGTTAAAGATTAAAGGATGTAGGTAATGATAAAGATTAGATTTGTTGATGTTGGTTACAGATAAGAATTGAGATTGGGTTAATAAGACTAAGATTATTTTTCAAATAATTATAGGTTAACAAAGCAGTTTATTATAATGAAGGTGTACAACTAAGTATATTGGAACCTTCTTCCTTTCTAAAATTTTTTTCTATGAAGTTTCACTTCTGCTCGAAGGGACTAAATGCGCTCATTTTTGTTTCTATATTGAAACTAAGATATATTTATGCATATAAATTCCCACAGCCTAAACAATCTCATTTACTATTATCTGATATTTCTCTTCCAATACTCGCAACATTTCCCACATTTTTTCATTCACGCCCGTTCCATCTTTTACCAGTTGAGCATTTATAAACATTTGCCTCAATGCTGAGAAACATTTCAGCTTTACCAATTTCAATTGCAGGCGTTGTGCCCAATTTTGCATACGCAAACGCTGTTCATATTTTGCTTGCATACGCTTTTTGCCTCTAACGTATTTACTACAAATGTGGCGATTCATTTTCTCCTTGCGCTTGCTAAGCTCGCTTTCGAAACGCTTTGCAATTATATCCTCGAAATCATTGTCACAAGCTTTTATACATTTGAAAAATTCCACATTTAACTCGAAATCCTTGAATATTATTTCAAATAGCTTCATTGGAAAAGTTGGTTGCTCCTCGACACTCAAATGCTGCAATGCTTTCTTTAACGCCTCGAGTAAATTTTTACATATTCCCTCCAGCACTTTCTCGTAATTGCAATTTTCCATTTCATATTTCTTGGCTATCTCGTGTAAGCGTATGTTTTCGATTTCCTTCTCGGTCAATTGCAAACGTAATTCGTCCAATTCGCGGCGTAGCAATAGATTCTCTGTTAGTTTTTCGTTTTCCTCACATTCCGTTGATAGCTCATCAAGTCGGTCGGCATCACCACCAGCTTGACTATAATTGATGTTTTTTTCTGCGTCTTGATTAGTCTGCTCATGTTCACAATTGTAATCACTATGAGCACTAACAATATTACCATCGCCATTCTCTTCAGTAGCATATTCGTACATGCACTGGTGAATGTGTCGGCGTTTTTGATTGCAGCGATGTAGATAGTATTGATTACCTTGCGCATGTGAAGAGTACGTGCGCATTGTTTGCGTTTGCTGCATATAATTGGCGCTTATGGAACTTTGTGCATCCAACTCGTGCAGGACGCGCTCCAAATCACGATTGCAGTTCTGTAAATTAGTGAATGGTTCACCCAAGGTACCTTGTTCCTTTAGCTGTAGCTGCATCAATGAGCATAGGCAATTTCTAGCCATTTTCTCCGCTTTGCTAGTCTTACTAAATATTTTCAGCCATTTCCGACAAAGCTCAATATCTTCAGTGCGGCTTTCTTTGAAGACGAGTTCTCGTAGCGTCTGCAACTGCTCCTTGTATAACTGG